GAAAGACGGGGACACTCTGAGAGTTGTAGTTGTTTTCGTGCTGTCTGTCTTTAGTGAGTTCCGGCTGGAATGACGTCGCAGCCGGGCGCCTGCTCCCATGGTCGCCTTGTCGTCAGCGCATACGCCTTTGCAAAGCCGGACTCCCCCGCGCACAAACCCTGACACGGATAATCCGTTCATGGGATCACGTTCCCTCTTCCAGCTGTAACTGTATACGAGCGACGATGCTTGTTCACGTAATCCTTTGCGTCCTTCCGACCATCCATGCCTAGGAGACCTCCTTTTTGTTAAAAACGATTTACTTGTCAGGCGTGTCAGGCGCGTCAGAATATTGTAGTCGCCGGCGAGGATTGCGAGCTACCCTTGGGAGATCCTTTTGTTGGACCCGGCATCAGCGGCGAAGTATACTTCGGTTCCCATTTTGTTAAACCAATTTTTTTTTTTTTTTAGTAGCGTAGCACTAGCATTACAACGGGACCCGCAGTCGTCCGGATGATCTCATCGTCGTGGCGCGAGACTTGAACCCTTGACGGTCTGGTGCACCCGCTCAGCGTACTCTCAGAGCGACGTCGGAGTAAAGAGGGGCCAGTCATAACAATCTCAACTTGACGAAGAAAATAAAGAAAAAGGAGGAAAGTTTGTTACAAAGGACCCTCCTTCCCGAGGCAAACCTCACACGTTTCGTCATGGATACTTAAGATGCCGACACTCGCTTACCCTTTCTCAAATTCAACGCTGCCGTTCAATCCAGCCCGTCGGTGGAACGTCTATTTAGCTTGGCTGGGGACGTCTTTAGAAGGAAACGGGAAAAACTTTCCTATCAATAACTTTCAAGTCAATAGCTTCTGCGAGCGAATAAACTATTTTGGCGAAAACGCAAGCCATAAATAGACTGCATTTATTTTAGGCTCGCAGGGTTTTTCATTGATCAAAACTGCTGTTCATTTTGTTACCACAAAAATATAAAAAAGTAATTTCGAAAGTAACTCGCTACTTTTTACAGTAATTAGTAGTTTACTCAATTACTATTACAAATGCGTAATTTCTACTCTACTCCAATTACTTTTGGCGTCGATACTCAGTAACTTAACTTAACTACCTTTTTTGAGTAACTTGTACATGTCTGGCGAGTGGCCGCAGTAGATTCATCACTCAGGGTGGTGCGTTCCACCGTGCAGAGGGTCCCGGTAGAGCTTTGTACGAGAAATCCGAGCAGAACCCCCGTCTGATTCCCTTCATGTCGACGTTTGTTGCCATTGCCTCACTCTGAAAACAATATTTTTAACGGTCAGTCATTTAACGCCCATACTCAACCTAGCGCTAAAGCGCCTAAGAAAAAAAAAAAAAGAAGAAAAAGCAAACTTCTGTTTATATATTTTTCGCAGATGTACCACACAGAAAAAAAGATATTCAACCGGCTACAGAAAACAAAGAGCATAATAAACATCATAAATAAAATCTCCAAAAACAAAAACATAATCGGCGCCGAAAAAAAAGAAAAAAAAAAAGCCGGTAGCTTTGCTGGCGCGACCGTCAAAATATAACAAACAAAAAAGTACGGCAAGAAAATATAAAAAAACAAATGTACTCCAGGGCCATGCGGCACCCTTCCCCTCTTTCCGCAGACGCCGCGACGCCGACGCAACCCGCAATAGAAAAAAAACAACAAAAAAACCTTTTTTTTTTTTTTTTTTTTTTTGTGGGGTTTGAATTAGAAGCTTGTACCCCCCCCTCCCCCCTTTTCACATACATACACACACATTATGGGTTTTTGCTCGCCTCCCACTTGAGAAAGAAGTTCATAATCACTGTAACGCTAACGATGTCTACAACATAACGTTGCAGTGTAAATTGCTGTAATGAACTCTGAAGGCAAACAAACGCAAAATCGCCGACATTGTTTCCGTCGATCAACGCTCTCGGGCGGTCAACCTCAAGCATTTAGAGTGCACACCGAGAAAGAAATCGGCGAGCCAAGCTTACAAACACTGACTGCCCCAGCTAGGGTGCCTTTATGCTGGCTTTGCCTTAGGGAGAGTGATGCCATCCTTTGTAGTACTCGATGCCGACAGTGTACGCTCACGGATAAAATACAATAAAATTGCCGGTAATGAAATGCCCACGTAGCAGTGCCAAAGCTAGCAGCTCGAGCTGGGAGAAGAACGAACGCGCGTCCGAAATTAAAAAGTAGACAAAAGCGTCGGGCAGAAAATGGTCTGATATCACCAGCCTAAGACAGACGCGTACACAATGGGGCACCCTAACCCGCTAAAAGTGTTTTGTGCGAAAGACAGCCCTGCGGCTCATGGCAGGGCAAACGGTTATCGACGCTTTGTCGTAGCTGAACGAGCAGATGCAGGAAGCGACCGCGTCCGCGGACTACAGCTGAACACTCTTACTCTACATGCAGAGCTCGTACATCTCACAGCCAGCGTGAAAATATTGATGGCTCGTTATTCCCACCCGCAATGCACCCAAAACAAAAGCGTCAATATGACAGGATTACTCACCCGAAGGAAGTCAAACGAGCAGCATGACGCTTGCGACCCTCCGGCAACGACCGTTTCCAGCTCTCCGTGAATTGGCGCGAAGCCTTAGCACCGTCCGAACTCTTTGCAGTGGATTAGTGCGCCTGCCCCTCTCCTCCTGACCGAACTACATTGGTCCAGTTGAGAGGGACCAGTCCCCTCTTAATATGAAGGGAGACGCGTGAATCTTTCTGTCGGTCTTTCCTGTTCAGAGGGACTAACAAAACGGTTTCCTTGGTCTCTCTTAATATGTTGGTGTCCCTCTAGATGTTGCTATTTTATTTTTCAATTTCCCTCTTAAAAAGAGCTGTCCCCCTGAAAGCATTGTTGTCCCCTCTAAAATCAGAGGGACAGCGTTTTTTATGAGAGACCGGTTTTAGAGTGCATGATCAATGACCTCGCCGCATTTTTTAGATAAACCTCCGGTTCTGGCCATTGCTAGGACTAAATGAACGCGATAATTGTCGGCATAGCAACGTCTTCGGAAAGCGCATTGCCTCCGAGCACCGAGGTGCATGCGAGTGTGGTTACAAAGCCGGTCGTGGTAGTTCCACGCGTTGCACGTGCTGGCGTCCGCAGTAGTAATTGTTCTAAAGCAAACAGTCTAAAACAAATTTTGCTTTGCACGCGCGTTCGTCAAAGCCTTATTATGACTATTTACTTCGAATCTTTTAGAAGACAAAGGCCAGCGTGCGCGGACCGTAGATTTACACTTTCAGCGTTTTCCTCGATGCTTAGGTAATTTAGAAAAAGGGACGCTGTCTGCTTTTGTGTGCTACGAATACCCGGCCGATTCAGTCAAGGCAATCCGCTTTCCAAAGACGTTGCCATGCCGACAATTATCGCGTTCATTTAGGCTTAGCAATGGCCAGAATCGGAAGTCTATCTAAAAAATGCAGCGAGGTCATTGCTCATGCTTTGTGATTTAAGTGAGGTAAAGCAAAGCGAAAGCCTCCTGCACCGTTCGTTGCTGACTAACGCGCCCGACATTGCAGCTACAACGACATACTAGTTCCAAAGCGAGCGGCGCTCACTCACCGGGGCACCGCCATGTTTCCCCGCATCCCTACCGAGCCCTGTCACGTGATTTCAAAATCCCTCTCATAGGTACTGCGGCTAACTTTAGCCGCGGTTAGCGCTTCGAGCAAACGGGCTGAAGAATGATGATTGTCCCGGAAGTCGGGCGTCTGCTGGGCTACCTATGCATTCGTTCGATGTATTGGTCTATGCTTTTTTGTGCCTGAGTGGGTATTAATAATCCCGTTTTGGAATTAAATCCCGAGAAGGAGGCATTTGAACGTGGGACACATGCACACTTGATCAACTATAACCCCCAAATTTTCCCATTGACTGGCTTACCAGGAGACTTCTCGGGTCTGCATGCGCAGCGCAACAAGCAGCCTCTCTTTAGAAGACAAGAAACAATCTTGTGCCCTGAACGCTGTTTGAACAAGCTCAGCCGCTTACTTCCGGTGGCTTCATATCTGTGTGCTCAATGTGCCATCCAGCCTCCTAGTGGATATCAGTGGTTCCTTCCAGGCCATGCTGGAGTGCCGGGCAACGAGTTGGCTGACAGAATCTCCCGTGCTGCGATTCGCCCAGGATACTTACTAAATTTCTGGCCACTACACCCATCCATAGCCCGTCAGGAGCAAGCTAGTCGCCACAAAACACTTCAAGAGCTCTTGGATCACTCCTGCCTCCTCGCACCGCCTCCAAACTTCTTTCCCGCAAAGATTTGCAGACTCACAGACGCACCGCGAAGATTTCAGCGCAGACGCACATTAAGCGTAGACGCACAGCCTTTCCACTCCTCACATCCTCCACTATGTAACCCGATCTAACGACCTTCCCAAATCTGCCTACTGTTCGGGCTACCCTAATTCCCCTGCCCAAGCACCCTTCGCACTCGATTCTTGAGTGGCACGCTCCAGGAGGCAGGTCCTCGTGGCCCATATCCCCCAGGTTTTCCCGAGCACCGCAATGACAATCTTTTATTTCTGGGCTTGGATTTAGGGCTTTTTTTTATTTTTAATCAAGTTTTCTCCTCCTTCTGACCCTGGACGTATAGAACCACTATAATAGGCTACACTTTAGAGTATGGACACTTCAGCCCTTTTGATGCTTAAAATTATGGTTGTATGTTATCTGCAGCTTTATCTGAAATCACTAAAACAGTTTTGCGTCCTCTACGAAAGTTAAAGCAGTCGGTGAAAGAGGAAAATCTTATCGCCCGAGCTTCCCATTACCGTATTCGAAGCTCGGCAAGTCGAATTTTATAATCGAAACGATCTCCAGTTCAGCCTGCTCTGCACTAAACACCAAAATGGCGGCGCCCACAAGAAAATCGTGAAATGGAGTGTTGACGCTCCAAGCGTGGCTTATGTATAGTGTCTCTACCTAGACCGTGCGTCCGAATAAAAACACATTGCGATGTTGGTCGTTACTTTTGTGCGCCTGGAGACAGCTCACCTCCATGCAGTAGTGATTGTCGTCCACGACGTGCTCGGATCCCCTGGCCGAGCTGTTTCCCCAGTGGAAGTGAAGCTGCAGAAACCGGAACCTTGAGGCTGGGTGAGACAGCCCTACGCCATGGTATCTGTCGAGCGGTGCGGACACCTGCACTGTTGACGTCGATGGGAACAAATGAGTGTTGTAAAGCCTCGGGATTCGAGCAAGCCACGCGCCATACGCACTAACTCTCAGCTCGACACCTGCCAGAAACTCTTTCGTGGAACAGTCTGCACTTGGCGTCAGCTAGTTTGTTCGACGTTGTCAATGCTATTGGCAACGTGCGCGACCGAAAGCGTCGCTGTGGTCGGCCTTCCACGATTGGCCCAAAAGCTGACTATGACGTCGGAAAGGGTATACCATCGACTGAAATAAGAGGAATGAAAGAACTTTAATTTCGACGGTGTTGGCAGTGTTGCTTCGAGAGCGCAATGATTTCAGGCTTCCACCATGCTATTTACAAACACCATCGAACTTGTTGTTCGCAAGGTAATGACGTCACAAGGGGGAACCATAGGAGGGCGCCACCAAAACATCTCGCCGCTAATTGGCGATTGTGTCGCAAAATACTGCGCCACACAATGAGCGCAAACAACATCCACGCCTTTTTTTATGTTTTACTCACCCGATGGACGTATATAAAATTGTTTCGTTTTACACATAAGTTAAACTGAACATGATGGACGATAAAAAAAGAAAAACACTAAGTACTTATAGACGCTTGCAGCGACTGTGCAGTGGCGCTGCCATGACCGACCTTCTGTTTTTGTTTCCTCTTAAAAATACGGTGCAACGATACTCCATTGGAGTGTTTTTTTTTTTTTTTTTTCAGTTTACGCGAGTTTACTGGCAATGGTGGGTCTCAAAAATACTCGCACGCAAAGTCGACTAGCCAAGAAACTCATTTGTTGCGGTGTAATTTCAAGAAAAAAAGCCAGCGTTTTCGTTCAATCTCTCCTTCGCAAAACTTGATGACGTAGCTCGGCGGTCGCAGTATGACGTCATAATGGGAAACGTTCCATAATGTAATGCGCGGGTCACGAGTGAGACACACGCTTTGCATCATGGCACGTTTCCCATAATGCACCGCGCCGTTCAACGCCGAAGGCGACAGCGACGGCGCCTAAGAGCCGCGCTTAGACCCTTTCCGGAATTCAGTCTGGCCACTTTGATCACTATCATGATCATCTGAAAACGAAATATGTGCTATACTAATTATGGTGCCTGGAACGCGTCTCCGACTGGTGTGTTTACCGCGGCCAAAAAAGTGGTCCCTCGATTTCCGCCTGATGACGTCATCGAAGTGTCATGCTGTCGCCGGTCGCGACCCTGGCGGCGTCCCAACAGCTGTGGTGTATGTAGCAGATGCCTGTTCTGCTGCAGGTCGCTTTTTACTGTGACAGTTCACGGAAGCTCGAGCAGCCGGAGTTGGGACGCCTGGGATGCCTAAAGGGACGCCGCGACGACAGCGACACTCGCGTTCGCTCGAGCTTTTCGCCAGCATTTCTACGGTCAACCGCCAGGATCGTGACAGGCAACAGCATGACACTGGCGTCATTTGTTGCCACATCGGGACCACTTTTGATGTATGGGCGAGATAGGACGCTAAACACACCAGTCGAAGACGCGATCCAGGCACCATAATACTAATGGCGGCCCTCTGTTTACTGAGGAAGGAAGAAGTTGAAGATGCTCCTAAGCAGATGATTCGAGACCTATACATTCCAGATGTTAGCGCAGCGTGAAGCAGGAATTGGACGCAAAAGCTGCGTAAGCGTTCATTTCTAACTCGGTCCCAGTCAATCTGTTAGTAGCACTCACTCGGCTTCACTCTATCAAGGAGTCTATGTGGGTTGGCGCTTCGTTCCGACTGGCTGCATTTGTTTCGCCGTCGACACTAAGAGAGATTGAAAAATAATTGTAGTGAAGTGCACATTGTCGTTTATTGTTGACCTTTAAAAGTGACGGTGCCCCATAAAATACTGCAGACCACAGGTTCATTGCCGCCATTAGCATAGTAAAAGATAAGCTGCCATTTGAATCACCAGATGGCACTGAATTCAGGAAAGGGTCTATAACAAAGTGTACATACCATATATTGCGAAGGTAATCCATACGGCGTTTATTTGAGTTGTATATCACAGAAAACAATGAGATAGAATCGATGAGAGTCCCTTTTCAACGACAGCGTTCGTCACCGCTCCCTCGCAAAACAAGGGGATGACAAGGGGAAGAGGCTGGCTTCTTAAATAAAAATTGAAGTCAGCGGTCAACTATTCATACAGGAAGGGTCCACAAGGGTCGCGCGGGTAGACGGTCTTGGCCAGGGACCGCCGGAGCAGGTCGGAGTGCCTTGCAACACTCTAAGAGATGCCTGCGCGTCTACTTCCCCGCAAAACACTCAAAGACGCAATCTCTGCGATCTAGGAAATCAGCTCAGCGAATGATGAGGCGGAACATCCGTTTAGACCAAGAAATATAGTCTGCGCTGCGGCATTACGCAATGGAAAGCGTCATGCTTGCATTGCGTAATGCCACAGCGCAGACTTAATTTTGAGGTCTAAACAGATGGTCCGCCTCATAATTCGCTGGGCTGATTTCGTAGATCGCAGAGTTTGGCTCCTCGAGTGTTTTGTGGGTAAGTAGACGCGCAGGCATTTCTTAGAGTGTACGCCTATATTCTGCCAAGCTCCCCGAGCTAGCCCAAGGCGGTCGCTTGGTATGTGTGATCTTTGCCGTTGTAGCCTTTTCCATATGTCTGTGGATATAGGCCCGTCCGAAACGATTAAAGGGCGAAGTAGACTCTTTTGAGAAGTGCGTACAACACACTCGTAATCACCTAAAAAACCGTAGGAAAAAAAAAAAAAAAAAGAGAGTGCGACTCCTTGATGAGAGTTATTCCTTTCCTCCTATGTGTAGCAAACTAAGATGGATGTAGGTGTATTTTAGACCAACTTTATATTACTTTATGAAGACGTACACGTTCCAAGGGCCGAAAGCATCATTTCTTCCCCCGACGTCCAAATCCCATTACTTTGCGCAGCGTCTGAACCATGAGCAGAACATGCTTCCTGTTCTTTAAGTGCGACAAGTATAGTAGTTTTGTCGCCAATTTTATTCGAGTTCACGGGTGTTCGGGTACCGACTCCGAGCATGTATCAAGAACGATGGCCGCGTCAGTGTTCGACGTGGACTCGGCTCAACTCGCATCGAAAACGAGCACTGCATAAGCGTTCGGCGAGATCTGGGATCCAAGCGCACGTCTGGTGTCCAAAAAATGGATTGATGGATAGATGCTAACGGCTGTACCCCTTATAACGGGCGGTAGCTTGCGCCATCTAGCCTAAAAGTTAAGAACCAAAAACATGATTTCTTTCCTTCGCCAATTTGCTTACCCTCTGCGCATTCGTAATTATCACCAGGCGGTGTGGTATGTCACCAGGATCACCAAGAGATGGCGACCACCAATGTTGCTTGACTTGATTTTGAAAAGGGTTTGTTATTCATTTAATTTCAGTTATTTTCACCCCTAAAAGCCCGGTTTGGGCATGGGTGTTACCTGAAGTTAAGTCAGCTCACTTGTTGTTTTTTTTTCACTTTTTTTTTTTTCAAATACCACGTACGTTGGTTCCCCCAATGCGCGCTTTCCAGTGCCGCATTACAAGTTCCGGTGGCATAAACAAGAACATACGGCAATCGGCTATTCGTGCTTGCTGCGCCTTTAAATGCCGCTTACCGGTGTGACCGTTGTTGACGATGGATGGAGACAGCAGTGGTTTACGGTAGTTGATGTAACTCATCGGAATGTAGGCGCATATTGTGCTTCTCACTTGGATGTGAATCGGCGATTGACTGCTGTTTCCGCATTCATTCTTGGACGGATCCAACCTTAGCTGGGACCAGAAATTTACACCTGTTTCAAAAGAAAACGAGGCAAGGCTAATTTGTTGCTATGGATTATTTTATAATGTGTCAATGAGTCACTAATATTGAAAAAAGTTTTTTTCTTGCTTAAAACTACTGGAAATGATTTCTAGACACCAGTCTTGAATTTTAAGGATTATACCAATTACGTGAATGCGATCAAGAAAAAACGAATTGGAAAATCTACTTTGAAATTCCCACGTGTTTCAATCGATGACGTAGATAGTGAACTGGTGTCTCGTTGCTGTCTCTTGGTGCCCGAACCGGGAGCGTCGTAACACGATTGCGTGCGCGCTTCTCGTTCTAGAGCAACCTACATCTCTATCCTCGTCCCGTCGACTGCTCGGCAAGTTAGACAATCACTGGACAATGTGTTTTTTTCCTTTTTTATTTATTTAACGATACTGAAGACTCATCCGAGTGTAACCACGAGTGTGTATTTTAAGAAGGTACAAGTAAAAACACTAGCCTACAGCAATACAACGAGGCACGAAAAACAAAATATCATCTAAAACAGGTCAAGTTCATTAGTTGGCAAATTAGTTTCCTAAGGATGCATCCTCAAGATTGGCAATAAACGTTTTGACTTTGCACGATCTTACAGTAATTTTTGTCAACTCATTTCACACTTATTGTTCCGGGGTAAGAAAACTAAAGTTTAAACATCCTTATGTGCTTGAAACGTCCTGACCATTTTTCCGTCGTTAAATCAAGCGATCGTTTGCGACAGTAGGGGTATGTAAAAATAGTAATTTATATTAGGTAAAGTGTTACATATTATATACAAAAAAATTAACCTAATTTCTGAGCGCCTACTTCCAAGTTCGCAAGCCATCTGGCACAAAAAAGGTCTGATCAACATTGTAACTGCAGATTTCTCAGTGGCTGAACCAGCCAGCTGGTTCAGCCACTGATCTCTATTGTAATAGGCAGGATCGCGGATCGGGAGCCCGTTGGTGTCGCCACCGGCGGCCATTGCTTGACACCAGACAATACCCGCGGGTGTATGGGAGAAACGCACAAAAGTGGAAAAATATTGGAGCATGTACGCTCTGCTCGGAGGCAAGTATTTTATGACGAAAGTAATCCCTGGAGAAGGGGAACAAGAGGGACAAAGGACAAACATAAATCTCCAAACACAGCTAGGTGACTGGTGAGCGACCGAAAAAATCCGCCTGGTCCGGGTATCGAACCCGGGACCTCTCCATTACAAGTGGAGCGCTCTACCAACTGAGCTAACCAGGGGTTAGCTTCACCCTTGTTGGTGTTCGACTGGTGGCAGCTGATAAAACCCGTTTGCTCTACTGACGTCTAACCCCTGGTTAGCTCAGTTGGTAGAGCGCTCCACTTGTAATGGAGAGGTCCCGGGTTCGATACCCGGACCAGACGGATTTTTTCGGTCGCTCACCAGTCACCTAGCTGTGTTTGGAAATTTATGTTTGTCCTTCGTCCCTCTTGTTCCCCTTCTCCAGGGATTACTTTCGTCATTCTTGTCCAGCTCGCTTGCACCTTTGCATTTAATTGCATTATAATAAAAAGTATTTTATGATGTGCTGCGATCCTTATTTCGGGCGTTTGGAGATCGAATCGGTATTTGTCAAAGGTTCGAACGCCGATTAAAAAAATCAAACGTATCGGAGCAACTACGGCTGAGCTGGTAAGCTTGCTCTCGTAGTGGAGTAAGCGAAGGAAATTGCCGTCAATGAGACCGTCCTCGGAGAAGCCCAGAAGTTGATGAATGACAAAGAAGTTCCATCTCGACAGCGGTTTTCCGGGAGTGAGCAAATTCCACGTAGCAAAGCCTTCGAGCTTGTCGTCTGCTAAACCCAACTCAACGAAACCGGTACCGACTCCTCGGTAACTCCAGGTAACTCTCGCCTCATTGATTTGCACTACAGCGGAGTCACTCTCGACCACAAAATATTAGTTTATAGGAACTGCGAGGGCTGTCAGTTTTAATGTTTGTACGCAAGCAATTTGGCGTGCTTATCGAAAAGCATCCAAAAAGTTTCAGTGCCGACAACAGCTTAGAAACGGGGGAAAGGGCACTTCTCGTCCTTCCCATATAGACCCATGGATTGGCTGGTGTCAATCAATGGCCGCCGGTGGCGACACTCGGCCCCAGCCGCCGAGGCCGCGGTCCGCGATCCAGTCTACTACAATAGAGACCACTGGGTTCAGCCGTCAAAACCACCGGTCAAAACGGTCAAAACGGTCTCCATATTTGAGATCAAGCAGAAAACCAGGAGTTGGCAGAGTGCCGTTCTGCGCCACTTTCGGGCTTTGTTTTTAATATTTCAAAAAAAAAAAAAAAAAAAAAGCGGCGATAATGCATTCGCAAGTGCCGCAAAACATGTTTCTTTAAAAATGCGTTTAAAGGGACCATGAAATGATATTTTTCCTTTTGCCAGATAACTTTTATATTAAACCTTCAACGTTCACTGAATACCGAACAGGCCACATGTTGGAACAGGCATCCGTTTTCGTTTCGGTTTATTAACTTCTACACAAAAAATTAATGAAACGTCGACTTTTTCTTTCTCTCCAACTGACCGCACAACAACCTGCGGCGTAATTTTGACGGTCGTGATATACTCTCTGGGACAGGAACCGGAAGTTCTCTCGGCAGTAGGAGGATGGGAGCGTTTGCGGCGGCGAGTGAGTTGGGGGTGCGCCGGTAGGTTTTACTGCGCTGATGGCACCGACGTATTTTCTGAATCGGCGCCTCTCATCGCCGCGATAACCATGGACACATCGCAGCTGAGCGAAATTCAATGATATATGTTGCACTACAGCGACAGCATGGGACTAGTCCCATACAGCGGCATGCCTGTTGGGAAGTGCGGCGAGTCTTCCGGTGAAGACTCCAGAAGTCAATCCAGCTGTTATTGTTGGTAAAAGGCGGCCCGTGTCAGTCGTTTGCAAAGCGACGTAGATGGAAACAAATTGCCGCGGCGTTTTTCGCGGCCTCGGAGATGCAGGAGCGAGCCGACGTTAAAAAAGATATGTTTGAACTACGACAGTGTCAGCAAGAGCCACGTAAATACCTGTTCACACTCGGAGCGGACGCGCGCGTTTGATGGAAGTGCTGTATTCGCGCTGTTGGTAAGCGCTTCAGGACCAATATTTTACGATTGCAACTCAATACTGACTTGACACTCGGCAAAGAAAGGTTGGACCGGCATTGCACGTAGCTCCCACGAGCTGTTATAGCTCGACGGTGACGTGCAGTCGTGTCAGCATAAAAATGGCATACTAATAACAAAGTGTACATACCGTGTTACGAAGGTAATCCATACGGCGTTTATTTGAGCTCTATATCACACAAAACAAGAAGAGAGAATCGACGAGAGCCCCTTTTCGACGACAGTGTTCGTCAACACTGCCTCGGAAAGCAAGGGGAAGAGATTGATTTCACCTCTTAATCTAAAATTGGGGTCAGCAATCAAACTATAATACGGGAAGGGTCCACAAAAGTCGCGCGGGAATATTCCATCCAGCACGCCAGCCGCTTGTGGGCAGACGGTCTTAGCCAAGTACCGTTGAAGCAACGCTGCGCCGAGTCGGAGTGCCTGCTAGGCCTATATGTCGAACTCGCCTGGTCGGCGTCGGTAGATTCGTCGCCGTTGTAGCTTTTCTCGGGTGTTTGTGGATCCAGCGTTCTTGTTCGTCGCGGTCTGTTTCAAGTACTTTCTTCTTGCTGCTGGAAGTCGGGACGCGCGAGAAAAACACGTAGAAAAATAAACGTTCGTTGATCGTCGCGGCCAAGTAACTGAACGACGCTGTCGGCCCTACTGTAGTTGCTTCGTTTACCACACGACAGATGGCGCTTGGCTCTCAGCATTATCAAATTTTGCAATTTTCGTCACATCTTTAATTATGCTACAAAATGTGAATCTGAATAAAAAAAAAAAAAAAAAAAACTTTAGGAAACATTTGCCGGCTATTTATTGTTTATGATCGCGGTGCTTGTGAGGTAGGCTCGTACCCAATAGGCGACGTGGATTCGGCTGACGTTCTGCGGTTCCACGGATGCATCGCAGCTAGTGAAAAGACAGAGCGCTTTCGAAAAAAAAAAAAAAAAGGCGCAAAAGAGTCTGGTTTTCTTTTAAAAGTTCTATAGCGAAGACTTTTTTTGCTCCCTATTTTTGCGTTTTTGTTGTTCTTTTGACACCTTTTACGACGTGCGGTGGATGAAATTTGATTAAAGAATCGTTTCATGGTCCCTTTAAGAATTGTTGCAGAAATATAGTTGCGAATCCTCATACATCCCGTGAAGTCAGAAGTGTGTTTCCACGTCAATTCATGCAATAATGGTCCGGGATGTACTTTTATTTACATGACTATGTAAAAAAAAAAAAAGAAGTCTAAGTCATGTTTTTGGGAGGAGCGTTGAGCTATATGCGAAAGCCGTAGCTAATTTTCTTCCGGAGACATAAACTTTTGAAGCCCGAGGCGTAGAGATTGCCAAGGTTTTACTATGGTACTTTGCACAGCCGACCATTTCACACATAAGTATGCCCTTAGTAATATTTTTTTTCTATCTACTGGGTGATTGAAGGAGCGGCCGAGCTCTTTAAATCGACCGCAAAATTCGGTTTCTTAACCTATCGCGCTAAGATTTCGTGCAGCGTTGCCCACAGATAGTGCATTTTTTTTTTGTAAAATTTACAAAGAGCGAACTTACCTCAGGAAAAAGTAAAGAAAGAAAAAGGCTTAGCTCCTATGGAAACGCAGCGAAGCCACCGGTCTTCAAACAATACTGCGCCGTTTTGCACGGGAGACAAGAGATGGCGCAAGCGGTCGCGACGCCAACTGCCGCCCACCGATCTTGTTTCTTTGCTGGATCGCGTTTGACCAGCTCCACCTATGGACGGGAATGCGGCCACGGTCGGCCACCTTTTTGGTAGAGTTATATTATCTCTAGCCATCATAGTAATACGGCCAACGAGGTAGAGGGGCTTAGAGTGATAAACCGGAAGTTCCGAA